CACACACACACACACACACACACACACACACACACACACACACACACACACACACACACACACTGAGAAACATCTGCAGGGACAGAGAGGAGCCTCTGCTAATGGGTGACAACTGACTAATCACACAGAATGAAGACAATCTGTGCAGCTATCTGATGCCTCGTGTGGGCTGCTATTTCTGCTCCGATGAAATGAGTTCTTCATTAAAGGGTGAGAGAGGAGCTGCCAGAAAATTGTTTTTGGATTGTTTTGCTTGCTAATTGGTCCTCGAACATAAAAGATCTCTTTCAAGTATAGTTTTGGTTCATCTGTGAATGCTGCTAAACTGTAATATTCAATAATCAATAACAGCCCTTTCAATGGAATCAATGAACTGAAACTTGGTAACATTCAAGCTGATAAATGGACTAAACAGACTGAAACTTGGAATCACAATGCTGAGACTATGAAAGGACATGATTAGTGTTGCCCTCAATCCTTCGTCAACTAGAGGTCAGATCTTCATAAAGAATAAAGCAAAAGGCTATTTGGAGATTTGCTGCATGATGAGATGAGAGGCAGAAGTGTGTGTGTGTGTGAGAGAGAAAGACTGCTCCAGGTGCTGGATTCTTTGTGTGAAGCCTGAAGCTGACCGCCATGTCACTCTGACTCACCCTGACAAAAGCGTAACCTGTCTGAGAATCCTGCACTCCCAGCTAAGACTGGAAATACAACTCACTGCTAATGAACTGCAGGCGCCGATCTATAAGATTCCTTCATTTTTTACATCTAATATGTACTCTTCCACACTGTTTTTACATTTTAAAGCAAATTTAAACCCATTTAGACAAGTGTTTTACTGTGATAAATCATAATTGCCTGTATGCACAATGAAAAGCACCAAACTGTACTTGCATTGGGTTCTCAGTAACTAAAAAAAAACAAGTTGTTATTAAAATGTTTACATTGCGACTTAAAAACATTAAAGGCACTCACTGCAAACAAAATCAAACATGAAAAAAAAATATATATTATGAGCTACAGTAATTCTAATACCGCAGTTTGAGTTAGTGTACCCCAGTGGTTTTCAAGATGAAATGCGGGTATACACTCACTGTAAACAAAGCTGAACCTGCTGAAAATGAAGAGTGCATGAGTTACATGCACTGAAAAAAAGGATTTTTGGGTGTAGTAACATTTATTTAATTATTCATTTAAATTTTAGAAAAAAATATAAATTTCTAAACTACTATAATTTACTAAATAAACAATACGCATTATTTTATATATCAATATTACTGTACAACAACAGTAAATGCTAATATAATTTACCAGTAATATTGAAGTGTTTTTTCTGGACAGCACATAAACATGAATATATTAAGTAACTTCTACTCTTCTGGGCTAAAACTGAGGGTGCATGCACACACAAAGGCTGCTGCTCCTCATTGCCTTCCTTCACTTTTCAAGGAGAGGACAAGACATGGTCGAAATAAAACAAAAGTCTGGTTTCTTTTGCTTGAATACATTTGTTGGTGTGCAACAGTTTGATGGCGTAATGTAGTTGATATTTAGTTGTCAGGGAACAGGGAATGCATATTGTAGCATTCTGCTGTGTTTGGCTGATTGTCATGTGATTGCAGTGGAGGATTGTGGGTAGGATTCATGTTTGTTGTTGTTAAATCATTTTAGGGAATTGGTTAACATTGTACTTTCAGCAATTAGCCTGTTGTGTTACTTTAATTTGTTGTGTTACTCTAATTTGTGTGTTCATTATTTGTTAACTTGTGTTAAACCGTTCAGCAGAAGTAACCATAAGTGAGAGTGGTAGGCCTAATCATTAATAAGACCTGTGAGTTTTATTTTGTCTGTTTTGTTCATGGAGAAGAATCCAATAAAGGTTCTTCAAAACCACCACCTGGTGGTGAAGTCTTGAACTACAACAAGAGCTACACCTCTCTCTGTAGCTGTGAGGTGTCATGCTACAATACTGTGCTTGACACATGTGCACTGTTATAAAGAACTTGTAAGTTTTGCTAGAAAAAAATCCTCGTAACAATTTGCACTAATGTTTGTTAAGTAAATTTAAATGCTACAAATTCATGTAATATTATCATTATCTAGTAAAAATGATCAAGAATATAGTTAAGTATTTGTGAATAAATCAGATAAATTTGACTTAATTTGATCAAGTATGTTACAAGATTTAATTGAGCAAATTAAGTAAAATTTACCTGATTTATTCACAAATCTTTAACTATATTCTTAATAACTTTTACTAGATAATGATGAGTAAATATTACATGAATTTGTAGCATTGAAATTTACTTACCAAACGTTATTACAAGTCATTTACAGGATTTTCTCTAGTAAATCTTACAAGTTATTGTTGACCCTCATTAGACTGACTGAAGTCTATGTATGTAAACTGTGCTGGGGTGAAAATATAAAAGTAAATCTGTGACTAAATTACGAAGAACAATGAAATACAATCTTACATTTTAAAAAAGTGGTATTGTAGTGTGCATGAAAAAAAATGTCTGGTTATATTTTTCGAAAAAAAAAACAACAACCCTGAAATACTCAGTGTTTTCAAATCTTATTTCAAATTGTTTTATAAACCCATCTGCACACTCTAGAGCAGTGAAATGAAAACCTTCTAGCCTGTAGCCCACAAAATAGAGTCACAGAAACTCATGATCCCAAATAATACTGGTTTACGTACGCAAACTTGGTTATTAAGTATGTAAATTCATCCAATTGTCAGACTTCACCTGAGCAGGTAACACCATGGCATCTGTTTACAATTATTTTAATTAGAAACACATAACCATCAATATGAGGGGGAAAATGTGTGGATTCACTGTATTTACAGAGAGGATATATAATCTATTCAATGAGTTTCGGGTGTCCTAGAAAAACCTCCAGAGGAAGGTGATCCTGAACGGCCTCAGCTGACCCGTTTCAATAAGGAGCAGCAGCTCTGCTCCATGCTTTCCTCTCATCCAGTTTAAGGCTGTTCTTCTGGTCATGATTCAAACCATATGACCACATGTGAAGGTTGGAACACAGGCTGTCTCAGTCCCTTTTCCACCAGGACACTTTGGAGCTTCATTATTGTGAATAAAACCCCACTCTGGTGGTCCATTTCTTGTTTAATCGTCTCATCACTGATGAACAAAACTCTCCTAGAACTCCTCTGCCTGAGGCCGAGACTCACCCTAAACCCATTCAAACCAGTGACAAACCTGGACAAATCCGTTTCCAAGACGAGTCCCAGCCCCGACCAATTAAGAGGGCGTTATGACTAATGAAGAACTATGGAGATCCTTAAAGCAGACAGCGTTTAACATGCAATAAATATATGACACACCTAAATGAGCGGGAAACCCCTCTAACCTTGGGCTGAAGAGTGGTCT